CTGTGGACAATTTTCAGAGTCCACTGGAAAAAGTTCATTATAGTACCAGAAATTCTAAGTAGAACACACCAACTTAAAGCATCATATGACAAGACGAAGACTATGGTCATATTTAGGGCACACTTTAAGGATGACACCTAACACTACTTCCACATCAAGTGATAACATGGACACCCTCTGCAAAGTGAAAGATAGGGTGATCTAGAGAAAAGTTACATAGAACAGAGAAAGAAACTAAATCCATCAACATGACACTCAGAAGCCAGAACAGACCAACACAAGTCCAAAACTAATGGTAAAAACTGACTTATGCACCTGATGGTGTGGGAGAAGAAAGAAAGAGAGAAAAGAAAGGAAATGAAATTTAGGGAGAATATTTAGTCTTGGCCCTCAACAGGGCTCTAAATGAATAGGAACAGATGGAAATAGCCTGTTGTCTCTCAAGAATGCAGCTTTTGCAGATTAGATGGTTTGAGAAAGATTATTTGCATTAGAGTAGCACCCAATATATATCTGAAGGGCTTTCAGATGATTGAGGCCTGAGGAGTGGAAGGCTGAATTTGATACTCATTCTGTCATGAGAGCACATAAAACTACTTCTAGTCCATTGAATTGACCTTTCCCATGTATTTCTGGCATCTTTATACTAACTCCCAACACCCCACACAAAGGTCTTCAGACTCTACCCCCTTCACCTCATGATTCAAACCCCACTACGTCCACTCCCACAGGGGAATCCTCCTATTGGAAACCAGAATTAAACTCAGATGGAAAGTTTTATAAATCAGTCCTTTGGGCTTGCAATAGGGTGGCCCTTATGCTTCTGAAATGACACAAGCACAAAATGGTAATTGCCAGAAAATTGACATTTTATAATCAAATGTGCTTCTAGTCATGTGAACTACCTGAATATTAAAATTAAGCCTCTTTTAATCAGCGTATTTCAAGCAGATTGTAAAAAGTTTTACAAAACAGATGCAAATGTATCTCTTAGACCAGTGGTTCCCAAACTTGTGCAGGGAAAGCCTCTGGCGGGCCGGGCCGGTTTGTTTACCTACTGCGTCCGTAGGTTTGGCCGATCGCGGCTCCCAGTGGCTGCGGTTCGCTGCTCCAGGCCAATGGGGGCTGCTGGAAGCGGCGCGGGCTGAGGGACGTACTGGCCGCCGCTTCCAGCAGCCCCCATTGGCCTAGAGCAGCGAACCGCACCCACTGGGAGCTGCGATCGGCCAAACCTACGGACGCAGCAGGTAAACAAACCGGCCCAGCCCACCAGGGGGCTTACCCTGCATTAGCTGCAGAACAAGTTTGGGAACCACTGTCTTAGACAACTGTTGCTGAGCATTTTAGATTTATCATGAATTTTGAATTTCATTATTTTATATTGATTGTGAAGTACATAAACCCAGTCTCTGCCCATACTCCTAGTTTATCCAAGACATTCTGAATGTTCCTGCACTTTTCCTTCAGATCAACTGTCCACACAAAACCATGAATCAACTTAATGTACATTTCTTATTCCAGGTCATTGATATCTGAAATGAACAAAATCCCTGTTCATCACAACCCTTGTTGAACTCAGTCAGGCACCTTCCTTATTTACATACTGTTTTCAGTCAGAAGTACCCTTTGCTTGATATCACGTATTTTACTGCATATGCCATACTTTCTGCCACTACATATTCTTCTTTTTTCCAGTTCTGCAGCTTGGAGTATGCACAAAAATTTTATATTGAACATGCTGTCTGCCTTTTTTCCTTCCATTCTTTTTGTTCCTCTTCCTTCCTTCCTGCCACAAACCACAGCCCCCAGACTGTAACAAAAGTATTTTCCCCTTAAGTTCACGTAACACCTGTCAATTCAATAGTCATCAGACTGCTACTTTCTCACCATTTCTTTTGGATTTGTTCAGCCTCCTCTTTTGCAAATCTCAACTGACTATCTTTAATGAAATCACAGAGTTCTAAAGTTTTTATTTGCCCTGCCTTCCATTTGGTTTTTGGTATCACTGGAGTGATGGGTTGTATTTTTCAGTCCAAGCAGGACTCAAAATAATCAGTCTGAAAATGTTTACCAAAGGACTTCATAAACTTTGCAACAAAATGCATCCCTTAAACTGCCCCTACAAACAAAGGAGCCTGGACTGACCGCTATGCCGAGTTGGCTTTTAGGTTTGTAAAGCCTGCAGTGCCCCTTCTCACTAATTCTGAAGCCTTGAACATCGGTGACAATCTCAGCTTTCGTTTTCTTGACTACTTTTTAAGTACACATTTCCACCTCTTTCTTTTGTGAAAATATCCCTGAGAATATAAACTGATCACTAGGGTTGAACCTTTGCCAGTGACTTTCATAGATACCCAAGGAATTCATTACCCAGGACAGGTCTATGGGGACACAAACTCACACCCTCAAGTCCCTCGGTTTTTTGGAAGACCTAGGTCTGGTCAAATGACAGTCGTCAAAAAATTATTTGTCTTATTTCACACCATTTTGTAACTAAGTTATTCAATATTTTGCCCCATTATTCACCCAGCTCTGGGAAGATGCCAGACCCACTGAGAGCTGTGGGTGCGACTGAGGCTGGGTGCTACTTAAGCTGCTAGTGATGGCATAGAATTTACTAATGCAATCTCCCCCAGACAGTACCTTGCAAATGAGACAGCTCCATTGTTAAGCACTCAGCATGGCCTGTGGCTACAAAGAGGGGCAGCTCAATAAATTAAGAGACTGACTGGTGTAATGGACTGTAGAAACTTCACCATTCTAATCCTGGCTGTGACACTAACTAGTTCCCTGTCTGGGCTCAGTCAAGTCACTTAATCTTTCTAGCTTAAACTCCCCTTCTCTGTTGGCATTTATACTGGTCTCATCAGCACTGGTATCTTAGCATTTGTGAAAATTGGAATAACGTACATGCCTCCTTCACAGAAATGCTGTGACGATTAGTGTTTGCAATGTTCTATCAAGCGGTAAAATTCATCCAAATGCACACAAAACCCTCCACCGGCCCAGCAAGTCCCAGGTCTCAGACTTATTTAGATAACTGTCCATTGCAAAACTGTTTATTACATATATTGGAAACGATGCATAAACACCAAGGAAAGCAGGTCGTCTCTACTTCTCCTGCAGCTGAAGGTGCTGTGACCTGAAGACTTCCTCCTATCCCTGCCCTTTATATAAAATGGGTCAGTTTAACCTTGCGGGATGCTAAGGAATCATTTTGTTGACCCTCCCCAAATCCCTGTGCTGAGCACTGTTATCAGGAAGGACAGAATTGATTAGGTTTGTGGGGCAGTGGGAGATTAAATTGTTTTTCGGGCCTACCCAACGATGACAAGGTTGTCTCTGAGGTATCATAGCCCTTGCTAACATTCCCACCACTCTATGCAAGACAGACATGCTGAGATAGGGATCTCAGAAACAACCACCCCCTCTCTCTGTTAACAAATGAGGAAACATCCTTAGAATAAGTTTTCATTACATAGAAAAGAAAATTAAATTGGAGCATTTTATCCCCTGGGTGGAAGCAAGAACCTATTTTAATTCTCAGACAATACCAGGAAATCTTGAATACGTGCTCTCCTATTTCCAGGGGAATGCTAGATTCTGACACGCTATTGTTAGGTTATTTACTTTTGTCTAAAAAGTTTCTAATTTGGTGCAAAGGCATCAATATGTCTGCTCCTTCAAAGCATGACGAAGTATGCTGAATGGAACACTGATATACTCCCAATGTTCTAGGACCAAAACAGAAGAAATCTTTTTTTATTTTTTTATTTTTTAAAGCAGTGTTTTCCAAACTTGGGACGCTTGCTTAGGGAAAGACCCTGGCGGGCCGGGCTGGTTTGATTACCTGCCGCGTCCGCAGGTTCGGCCGATCGCGGCTCCCAGTGGCCGCGGTTCGCTGCTCCAGGCCAATGGGAGCTGCTGAAAGCGGCATGGGCCGAGGGACGTACTGACTGCTGCTTCCAGCAGCTCCCATTGCCCTGGAGCAGCGAACTGCGGCCAGTGAGAGCCACGATCGGCCGAACCTGCAGACCCGGCAGGTAAACAAACCGGCCTGGCCCGCCAGGGGCTTTCCCTAAACAAGCGGCGACCCCAGTTTGGGAAACACTGTTTTAAAGGCATGATATACGTCTCTTTGCTACTCTTTTTGATCAAGAATATGTAACAAATAATTTATCACAGAATACCATTGTATGTTTTAATGTTTGCTTTGTTCTGATGCACATGTGGAACACTTACTGGCTATCACTACATTTAGACACTGAACCTACAATTAGACTTAGTGCACACCTTAGTGTGCACTTAGTACACCTACAAGAAACCTTACTGATTTCAAACAAGGCTGCACTTCGAGACAAAGATCTGCATTAGTGGATTTAATTACAGGATTGGGATCTGTTTCTATACATGCATGTTGAATGGAGAATTTAACCCTTGCATTTCTTTTGGTATGGGAATATCCTTGTTTCCCCTCCATCAGCAGCCATTGTTTTTACACATACCACAATGTGCAAGATCTTACAATGTGCAACACATACTAGAATATGAAAGGACCAGCAGACCCTAATCTGAAATATTTACAATGAATTCTAACTAAAGACAAAACACAATTTTTCAAAAGCACAAATGACATACGCTCAAAAAACAAAACAGGAAGATCAAATTTACAATAATCTAGTCCACGTATCTAATGCCTTTGTTCTGGCCTGTTCTCAGCTTGAACAAATCAGTGTAGCTCCAATGATCACAAAGAATTTATGTTAATTTACACAAGCTGATGATTTAGCCAAATCTATTGACATGAATACATACTTTAAAAGTATACAACACTTGGATTTCATGGGACCATTAAGGGGTTTTATTCTGGAAATATTTATGATGTTATTAGCAGGAAACAATCTTGAAATGTTTATTGTCAAACAGTTTTCAGTCATCTAACTTTACAGCAAGTCATGAATACGGGGCATCAATTTTCTCAAGAAAGTGACAATACTTACGAAAGGACATTCCCAATATAGGCATAATACGAGCAGCAGTAGGGGGTAGTCCCATCACAGCAGTAAGCTTTGCAGTCATTGTCACACTGTGCAAGACAATCTTCTGCAGAATAAAAATAACAATGCAGTCTCAATAGCAAAAAACTATGTAGCACAGCTTTAAAGAAGATGCATTTTTAGCAGCTTTTTGCATTGAATCAGTCACTGATAGGACTTCATTTGAGGTTTGATCTGACTCTGTAATCCGAACTCTAGCAGAATTCCAACTGGCTTGAAGAGAACATCTTCAGGTGTCACTGTATATCTGTATTTTGCAGTTTGGCTATATGGGCTCTCTCCCTCTGTTTTTTAAAAAAGAATTTCAAATTTCCAACAGTACAGATTATCTTTTTATATTTTAACAATAAATACAAAGAAATATCTAGGGACAGATTCTGGTTCACTGAGTTGTATGCTGGGACAAGCAGAGAGTGAGGCTGTGTGGGAGCTGATTATAGATCCTTGATTCCCGGTCTAATCCCCAGCCCTAGGTGTAAACTAGAGCAGCCTGGGGGCTGCTTTGAGCTGGGCCAACTGGCAATGGTCCTTAAGGCACCATCTGCTAGCTAAGAACAACTGAAGCACAGTGCACTTTGACTCTTCCCCCACCAACTCCATCTCCAATTCATCCTCTCTATTAGTGGCTGCAAGCAGGATAGTGTAGAACACCTTTGTGCCAAGGGCACTCCTAGCTAGAAGGATACAACCACTTTTGCCCCCCACCCCTCCTCGTCTTTTAATGCGTCATTTTCTGAGAATGACAGAATAATCAAACTGTACAAAGAAATAAAATCAAAAGGTTAGCAAACAAAGAATAAATATCCATATATTGAAGAAAGAGAAAAGTTTTTCACTAGCAGTGGTTTTGTTGTTGTTTTTAAAGAAACAAACCACTTCCTCCTAAGTAAAAGCCCCAACTCAAAGTTCAGGTTCTCCTCTGAAAAAGTAGCTCGGTAAAACTGTTATTGCCGGGTTCCATGTTTATTGCATCTCACTGATTTCCAGTGCAATTTTGTTAAGTTTACATATCAAGATGTTTTTCTAACTGTCATAAACCCAACCTGGGCTCTGACAGTCTGCTTGGCGTCTTTCCATCTTGTAGGTCATTAACCCCAGTAATAAAGATTCAACAAGCCAAATTAATTCCTTAGTTAAACAGATGCAGCCCCATTGAGGGCTTAATTGGAAGAAAATAGGTTTCCACAAGTGCAATTGAGGGTTTAATTTGGAGACTTTTGCCCCTTTGCAACTACAAATTAAGCCTTTGTTGACATTTCTGCATTAGTTTTCAGTGGGGCTTCTGGTGTCAGTAAGGTCAGGCCCCATATGCTTCAGAGCCTTGCTTCCTCATAATAATCAACATAGCAAAGGAAGTGGAAGAATCATGCAACGTTCATGCAATCACTGCCTCCTGGTTTTACTGGTGCTGGGTCACCTAGCTCATAAGGAGGGATTTAAAAACTTGCAGTGCTCATTTAGGGGGACTGAGTGAGCAAGCTAGTTCATTTTTGGTAGCATTAGAGAGACTTAAAACGGGCATGATTATCTTTTTGAGAGAATCCCAGAGAAATGTCCTGTACACATGCTTATCATTCAAAGAATGTAGATGATCAATTATTTGATCAAACAACACAAATGAAACAAATCATCAATTTAAATTATCAACAATAATGAAACTTCTCCAAAAGTGGCAAAAGTTATCAGCCAAGACACAAGATACTCTTATGTGAAACAACAGTGCTATGCTTAATTGTTAAGTGTACAAACCACAGAATCTTGGTAGCTTCTGACTGATTATTGTACTGTCAATTTTAAAGTTACTGAGTCAGGAATGCACTTATGCATGTGCTTAACTTTATCCATGTCCTTAAATCCCAAAGAGTGCTGTCCTGAATAGGGATTCTTTCCTGATTTGAGGCCTTTTCTAATGAGGGCAATATGAGGTAAATTAGTCCCCTTGGGCTAAATTCAGACCCACTGTAAGTGGAAGCTACTCCACTGTAATCAAGGGATTTGTATAGCCCTTTTTTTTATTTTTATTTTTTTTTAAAGACTCCCACCATTGCAGCGCCTCCTCCCTGTATGGCAGTGGTGGGACATTCTGGCTGCTGCTTCCCGCAGCTCCCATTGGCCAGGAATGGCAAACCGCGGCCACCGGGTGCTGCGAGCGGCTGTGCAAATGTAAACAAAATGTCTGGCGGCCCACCAGCAGATTACCCTGACGGACCACAGGTTGCCCACCTCTGCTGTATGGTAATGGCAGACATGGGACCAGTTTTCTTGTTTTGTTTTTTAAAACCTACCATGTCATGTACACCTCCTCCTCTGTGTAAATTTACATGGCAGGGTGGTAAAAATGCTGTCACCTGTCTGCACTAGCACTGCCAATGTGCTTCCATTTGTGGTAGTGCAACTGTTGAAGGACTGCAAAAGAGACTCATACAGATACAACCATGGAGCTACAGATGCTTACACCCTGGTTTGAATTTGGACCAAACACAGACAGCAATATGCTGAGATTCCAGGTTTTATTTAATTGCAATTAATATTAAAAGTTTAAATGCACATACACTTCAGTCTACACTACAAATAGCTTATTGACTAATTATCTACTGTAATAAAATTAGAGAGAAGCATGATAAAGGGAATAATCACATTGTCCACTTAGGTAGGCAGAGCCTGGGTAATGGATATTAGAAGTGCTTAATTGAAACTCAAACTTTTAGTCCAGGGACTGACCTTGCTCCCATTAAAGTCAGTAGGAGCTTTACCATACATTTCAGTAAGAGCAGAACTAGGAAGAGAAAGTAAAATATTGATTTGCTCTGCTGGAGTGTGACTATCAGAAGTAGAGGCCCACTTCTACTGCCGATTTAAGTAGGTGCAGGATAGGGTCCTAAATTTTATTAAAGTTAATGTTTAAAATTAAATATACACAAGTTAAGAGGGAAGGTACTGTACATCTGGGGTCAGGCTTGATTTATGAGGGATTACAGGTATCGGTTGCAAGGGTGAAGAGATACATGCATAGATGGGGGTGTATGAGTTTTTCAAGTGACAGTGGATAAGTGGGCTCAGGCACACCAAATCAGTATCAGTGTAGCCAATGAGTATGTGGCTGGGGTGCATCCCTTGGCTCGGCAGGGAAGGAAGTGGGTTGTTTCCCTACAACATGAGAATGTTGCACAGTGGAGAATGTTTGGAACTTCTTTTTATTAATTTGGTTTAGTTGAATTAGTTTTAAAGATAATTAAATGTGATTGTTATCAATTTAAAAATCAACACAGTAAAGACAAATGTAATTGTTCTCAGGGGCAGATGATAGAGCCAGGAGAAATGTGCCCCTACTTTATTTACTCTAATTACCGGCAATTTTAAACCAAATCCTAGCACCTGATGTGGAATACATAGGGTTTTCCGCCGCAGATAATCCGCTGAAAACTGCTCATCCTGGCGAGAAAGAAAAGCTTCCTGGATTCGGAGTCGCTTAGTAAACCTGGGGGTTAAGCGATTCCACAGTCGCTCCAGCACGTTTGCCAAGCCTCTTTCTTCTTCTGAACCGGGCTGGTCCGAGTCCCAGTCGGCGGGATGCCGGCCTGTGTGTGAGGCAGACAGCCCTGCTTACTGAAACCCCTCCGGGGACGGAGCCAGGTACTTGCCAACTTCCAAAAGAAGAATCCCGCTGAAGCGCCCCAGGCGCCGTGAACTGCCCCGTGGCCCTCCGCCTCGGCACCATGCTGTTCCGCGGGCTTTTGCCGGAGACCGACCAGCCTTAGCACGTGGGCGGCAGGGGGAGAGCAGAACAGCTGCTGAAGGATGTACGCTGTACAGCCCCGGCCTGCCCATGGGTCATCTCCGAACCGCGCTGCCCCGCTCATCCAGCCCGTCTCTGCCCCCGCCCCGGGCTCCCTGGCACCCCCTCTGCAAGCGGCACCTCCGCCCCGCGCCCTCCCCACTGACCTGCGAAGACAAAGAGCAGCACCAGCTTGGGAAGCCAGTCTCCTTGGCCGCGCCGCTGTGTGTCCATCCATGCAAGCGGGCTGCGGACAGACAGCGGGACTGCTCCTCCGCCGCTGCGAGGCAGGGATGGGAGTGGGGGCAGGGCACAGCGCCCGGCCCCGCGGGAAAGCAAAGGGCGCACCCGGGCGGCGGGGACTGAGCTGCCGCGTGCGCCCGCCCATCAGCTGGGCGCTGCCCTGCTCTGTGGAGCGCTGCTGCCGCTGCCCGGGACTCTCCCGCCCCCTTTGTCTCGCTGCTGCCTCTCGGGGCTCACGTTTCAGCTCGGTGGGTGGCACTGACGTGTGTACAGAGGCAGCGTGTCTGCCCCCGGCCCTTCCACGCCCGACGTGTTGCTGTGGGGGCCGTTCACACACACACGCGAGCCAGCGGTTTTAGGAGCCGAGCTTCGCAAAGCTCCCTGCGAAGTTACGGCACTGACACGATATACCAAGCAGCTGTAATTGCTGATGTGTGTGCGAGGGCAGCGGGGCGCCGCTGAGAGCACACAACAGGCCAGGCAGCGGAGCCAGTTGCATCCCCCTGGAGCATCCCTTTCTCTCACTAGGTGGGGGAAGACAGCTGGATGACTGTGAGCCTTTCCGCCTGTTCAGCTGGTGCCACGATAGCTTGGTGGGGTTCATATCGGGCGCTCTGAAAGCAGCAGTTATACATTAGCTGGAACACGCAGCACAACCCCAACGTAGCAGTGTGCTAGGCTGTGACTTGATAGAAATCACACGCCTGATATGACAACAGATGCACCTGTCCCTTGAAGGACGTCCAAGCACAGTTTATCCCCAGAACCTCACTACATATAGCAGAAGCTGTGTGCTTTGGGTCAATGGTGAGGACAATTTTTGAAACCTAACAAATTACTAAATGTAAATCCGGTAAATTACAGCACACACAACTGATTTCTGCCAGTGCCTATATCTTTTTGTTAATTTTTTTGTACCTGCTGAATGGAGCAAATATAAGAAAAATAGCCATCCATCCCTTTTACTCTATGCACACTCAAACAGCTGTACTTAATTGTTTAGAACATATAGGACGTGCCTGTTATCAGATATGTATTCCTGTGTCTGACCTATTATTTGTTGCTTACCTCTCTGCTCTGCCTTTACATCACACTAGCTTCAGAAAGCAGGAGTTGCCTGGAGGATTTTAGGAGTTGCCATTGGCATGTGCAAACACAAACCTCCATCCTGACTGACACTGTTGCTGTACATATGATAAACCAAAGCCAACTGTGGCATGTAATTACCTAATTTATGGTTAATTTTTTTACCATGTTTTAAGTGTTACTTTACCATTATAATCAAGTGTTAAGTAAAAGCATGGATTTGTCAAGAACAAATAGCTTTCTTTGACAGGGTAACAAGTCTTATGGATGGGGGAAGCTGTAGAGGTGGTATATCTTGACTTTAGTAAGGCTTTTGGTAGTGTCTCGCATAACCTCAAGCAAACTAGGGAAATACAGTCTAGATGGAGCTACTATAAGGTGGGTTCATAACTTGTTGGAAAACCATACCCACAGCATAGTTATCAGTGATTCACAGTCAAGGTGGAAGGACATATCAGGTGGTGCCCCACAGGGATCACTTCTGGGTCCAGTTCTGTTCAATATCTTCATCAATGATTTAGATAATGATATAGAGAGTACACTTACAAAGTTTTCAGCAGATACCAAGGTGGGAGGGGTTGCAAATGCTTTGGAGGAGAGGATTAAAATTCAAAATGATCTGGACAAATTGGAGAAATGGTCTTAAGTAAATAGGATGAAATTCAATAAGGACAAATGCAAAGTACTTCACATAGGAAGGAATAATCAGCTGTACACATACAAAATGGGAACTGCCTGCATAGGAAGGAGTAAAACAGAAAGGGATCTGGGGGTATAGTGGATCACAAACTAAATATGAGCAAACAGTGTAACACTGTTCCAAAAAGGCAAACATCATTCTGAGATGTATTAGCAAGAGTGTTGTAAGAAAGACACGAGAAGTAATTCTTCTATTCTACTCTGTGCGGAGGACGGTGGTTTGAGCATTGACATGCTAAACCCAGGGTTGTGAGTTCAATCCTTGATGGGGGGCTATTTAGGGATCTGGGGCAAAAATCTATTTGGAGATTAGTCCTCTTCTGAGCAGGGGGTTGGACTAGATGACCTCCTGAGGTCCCTTCCAACCCTGATATTCTATGATTTGGCCTTAACTGGACTATTGTTCAGGAAAAATATGGACAAATTGGAGAAAGTCCAGAGAAGAGCAACAAAAATGATTAAAGGTCTAGAAAACATGACCTGTGCAGGAAGATTTTAAAAAATGGGGTTGTTTAGTCTGGAGAAGAGAAGACTGAATGGGGGGACATGCTCAGGGCCGGTACTACCATTTAGGCAAACTGGCGGTTGCTTAGGGTGCCAAGATTTGGGGGTGCCAAAAAGCGGTGGCCCCCAATTTTTTTTACAGTGTTCCTATGCCCCCTCCCCGAGTGCGCGGTCGCCGCTCCACTTCTCCCACCTCCCAGGCTTGCAGCGCCAATCAGCTGTTTGGCGCCGCAAGCCTGGGAGGGGAGGAGAATTAGAGAGGGGGCGGCATGCTCGGAGCAGAGGTGAGCTGGGGTGGGGAGCTGCCGCACAGCTCCACGGGCCGGTGGGGTGGGGAGCTGCCGGCGGGGGTGCCGTCGGGGGGGGGGAGCT